AAACGTCAGCCTTCCTGCTCCTCTGATGCTGCTTGGCCCGCTGTGTTCATCCAGCTCTACACCTTGTTATCACTTGATTGCAGAGTTCCTTTCTCTATCCTGTTCCCAGCGATTCAATTCTCTTTGGCTTTCTTCCATTCTGTGGTCTTAAAGCCTTTAAAACTCCAGGTTGGCATTGCTTCATCACTCGTCCCTGATGTATCTTGTTTACTCCTTTTATTGATTTTACATTTTGGTTGTGATCTTTAGCTTTGTTTTTTCTCATTTGAAAGACATAATTCTGAGTTGTCATAAAATGCTTTACCTTTCTCCGTGCATTTCTCACTTTTAATTGAATTTTCCTTTTTCCTAGTTTTTGATTGAGGATACTTAATTCATATTCTGACTGTTTCCAGTTTGATTGATCGGAGAAATCAATGGCGTAAAGAGGCAGAGGAACATCAGAAGAACATTCCTGATCCGAGCATGCCTCCTGGACATACTAGGATGCCAGAAAATGAACGTCTGGAAACACTTAGTTCCCTGCAACAAAGTATGTGTGATAGCCTGTGAATCAGGAGGAGCACATCAATCAACCTAAAGTTTGTTAATCAATCTGTATTTTTTCAACAATTTCCTGAACACGCACTGCTGTGCAGACTTGGGTTAAGGACTATACATAATTGCTGCTTATTCTGCAATTTGTTAATGTAAAAATTAGTCTTTGGCACCTGTTCACCTTTAAAAACCAGAATTTTTTTTCAGGGTTAGTTTCCAGTGGAGTTTTGATGAGACATCTACTGCTCCGTCATCCTGACTAACCATTTGATATAAATGATGCAGAGATAATCAAACACTACAAGATTGGAGTTCTCCAGCTGATATTGGAACTTGATTTGAGCACAATATCTGTACCATAAAGTACATAAATACTTCAAGTGAACATCCAGGATCATGAATTTTGGGGGTGTCTCGTTACTGGAATCCTGTTGTTTGAACATTTTGTTCAGATACTCCAGTGTGACACCCATTGATGAAATGGACATATTTGCGATCTTTTGTTATATTGTGCCGATCAATTCTTGTCAAAGCTGTAGAAGGCAGGTGATAGTTTCTCCTGCACCAGCTTCATGTGCAGATATACCAACTATTAAGGTGTAATAGCTTTGTGATTTTGACTCACTCTATGATACACCTTTTGTGAGGAATTATTTTAAAAACAGTTCATCCAGATAGCAGTCGGAAAGACAGGTGGGGAGCCAGGCACAGTTTGCTCTCGTACCTTTTGTGAGTTTGCAGCTTTCATATGGTCCACATGCTTGTTAGCATGTATGCACCCTCCTCCCCCGCCAACACACAACACACACACACAGTCCAGGACAATCAGATGTGCCTTGGTGTGGACTCGTCTCCTCATCAGCGACCCTGCCAGAGCTATCCCTGTAGTTGCATGAGGGGTGGTCCAGTAACAGGAGCTGGGACAGTCTGGTATCTAGTGAAGCTGTACACTGTTTCATAAGCCTGCCCTCAAAGTTTGGACTGCTCTTTCTGCCAGACCATTGGATGATGGATGGTTTGGAGCTGTCCTTGTATGTTGAATACCATTTGACTTTAGGAGATACTCATTTCCTGCTGGTAAACAATGGCCCCTTATCTGTGACCAACACTTCTTGGAGTCTGTATATTGCAAAAAGTGCACACAGTTTTTCTATGGTTGTCTCTGTATTTGACAAATGAACTCTGCATATCCAGCCACTATGATTGGGTGCCCACAATGAGTAAGAACATTGAGCCCATGAAAGGACCTGCATAGTCAATATGTAACTGAGTCCAGAGTTTACCTGGCCAATCCCATGAACGTGGAGGAGCTGCTGCCAGTAATTTCTGTCATTGTTGCCACTCTGGGCACTGCCCTACCAACACGGCTATGTCCGCATCCAATCCTGGCCATCGATGTAACTTTGCTCGGGACAATCACTCTTGCTGTCCATAATAATATGCCATCCTCTACTGTGATCTGGTCTCTCTGAGTCCAAAAAGATTTCAATTCTGTTTGTGACGGCTGTTTGGTTTCTCCTTTCACCACCAGCTGTTTTAGTTTTTCCAGGACTGGATCTTTCTGCGTCCAAAGTCTAATATTGTCAGCTGTGACAGGGAGTGTGTTGAAAAAATTTAAAACCATCACGGACTCCTGCAGTGGCAGTACCACTGGTGGTGTATCAGCCGGCAGGAGGCAGCTCAATGCACCTGCGTTTGCTACTTGGCCTCTCCAATGCGACTTGCACTTAGAACATGTCAGGCATCACGTAAACAACTATTTGAACAAGCAGTATTTGTAGAGTTGCAGATGATTTGGAACCAGTGATGCAGATTTTGCTGGCAACAAGAAATAGATTATCTAAGATTTTAGGGTAGATTTGCAGCCCAGGTTGTGGATGTTGTAGTTGGTTGGCTTGCCGAGCTGATTCGTTGTTCTGCCGATGTTTCATTACCCTGCTGGGTAACATCATCAGTGCAGCCTCCGATGAAGCGTTGTTGTGTTTTCCCACCTGTTATTTAAACTGTAATGTCCGTTGAGCTGGATTACCTCACTTCCAGCTTTCCTTCACAATGGAGTGTATCCATTGCAAAGGAAAAGCGGAAGTGAGGTGATCCAGCTCAATGGACACCAGAGTTTAAATAACAGGTGGGACAACACAACAGCGCTTCATCGGAGGCTACACTGATGATGTTACCCAGCAGGGTAATGAAATGTCTGTGGAATAACGAACAAGCTTGGCAAGCCAACCAACCACAAGAAATAGATTGCTTTATGAACTAGTGACCAATTATTAATGACAGAGATATTTTTGCCTGCCAACAACTGCATGATTGGTTCTCGGGTAAATGAACAGCTTGATGATAGGAACGAGTTAGAGAGAGAGAGAGAGCTGTTCAGTTTTTCCCCAGTTCAGGACTGGTATTTCTGTTCTCTGCAGTCATAACTCACCTGAAGAAAATGGTGATTGTTCCAATAGTTGTCCTATGCTGTGGCTTATAACTGTGAAGATAGAGATTCTATTAGTAATTGTACAAACCTCTTTTTTTTTATTCTCTCACCAACCATTGAAAGAAATCAGAGAAAAATAATGCAGTGAACAGCAGAAAAGTCATAAGGATCATCTCAACAACAGTACTTGGGAACAAAAACTACTGAACTGTCTTTCCAGTTTTTCCCCAATTGTCCAAAATTTACACTGTCTGTGTGTAAGGGGGAATCTATAAGGGGAATAGAGTTTTAATGAGTATTATATGTCGAAGGTTTACAATTGTTTGTATAGCTAGAGTCTAATTACTTGCAATAAATAGTCATTCTTGCTCAGTTCAAAAATGAGGTCCATGTTTTCTCTCAATCAGGGTCTCGAAAGTCAGGTCAGTTCGGGAACTTTGTGTACTTTTTGAAATCTTCAACTTTTGTCATGACTCTGGGAATAGTGGTGCTTGATTTCCAACGTGCTACTGCAGTGAGTTTTAACAATTGCCTCGCTTTTTCCACCTTGAACAACAAATCTTTTCAGGTGTTATTTAGACTTGTGTATTTTCACCATTTTCCAAGGAGTGATATTAGGGATTGATTAAACATATTTGGAGCTGTTGTCTTATCATTGAGATTGCACAGGGGTATGGCTTTTGTAATCTATTTTAATTACACTTTTTTAAGCTTATTTGGTTTGATCTGTTCTTATCCTTCAGCCCAACAACAGCTGACCAAGCAACTGCTGTTGTTCCCTGTAAGAGTGGATACCATTGGCATGCGGAATCGACGTACTGACCTTGAAAAGAAGTTGGCTGAAATTGAAGAAGCTATTAAAATTTTCTCACGGCCAAAAGTTTTCATCAAAACCAATGACTGAGCAACTCGGTGAGGTAAAATTTAGCTACAGCATTGATTCTGTCAGAGAATATTTTATTTGTTACTTCAAATAACAGTTTTGAGCAAAATGGTTATGACCTGAAAGAGGGACTGCGTTGAGGTCTGTAATACCAAAGGCAAATCAACAGCTCATCCACCCATAATTGCTTAAACCACCAAGATCAGCAGGGGATGCAGATTGTCTCAATGGTTCCAAGTGGCTTATCTGATGACAGATAGTTCACAATCAGTTAGCAGTAGAGTCAGCATCACAACTGACCACAAACCTGGGTAGGAGAAAATTGACAAGGTTTTCAATCATAATAGACTTAAAATCAACAACTGGAATTTTTGTAAATAGTTCCGATAGAAAGACAGGATTAAGCTTGACTGCAGTGTGCTCTGTAGTCAACTGTCCCTCATTACCAAGACTCTGGTCCAAATGTTTGCATATGGGGAGCTGTTCGGGTGATGTACCACTCATGCAACTGTAACTCAGTACAGAGTTTCAAGACAGAACTGGCAATGGCCAAAAAATGGAGGAAATGGCCCATGCCAGTGAGGCTTCCTTCCCTTTACAGTTAACATATTTTGTTTCAGAACGCATTTGTAATTCAGCAGGTGAGATCCATCAAGGAAATAATTGAATTTTGACAGCAGTATGCGATTTGTATTAAATAGACAGGGAAATGTTTAGTTTTACCACATGTCTTAATTTTGTTGACTTTTGGAAACTGAGTACGTTTTAGTATTTCTGTTTTTAGAAAATTGCTTGCCACATTTCGCAGGTTGCATTATATAGACAATAATTACTTACTAAAGTGTAGAAACATATTTAATGTGTAAGACTATAAAAAATAGAAACAGTAGTACATCAATTGGCCACTTGAGCCTGCTTCACCGTCAATCGGATCGTGGCTGATCTGACACTTCTCGTGTCTACTTTCCTGCCCTTTCCCCATAACCCTCGACTCCCCTACTGGTTTCATCTCAGCCTTAAATATACACAAAGGACTTTGTCCCCACAGCTCTCTGGGCAAAGGATTCCAGAATCACTCAACAGTATGAGAGAAGAAATTCTCCTCATGTCAGTCTCAAATCGTTGCCTCTTAATTCTGAGTCTGTGCCCTCTGGTCTTACACTCACCCATTGAAGGGAAGCATTCTCTCAGTATTTACCCTGTCAAGCCCTGTTAAGAATCCTAAATGTCTCAATGAAATCACCACTTATTTTTCAAAACTCAAGTGAGTAGAGTCGCAACCTGTTTGTCTTTGGTCATAAGACAATCAGGGATCATCCTCCTGAACCTTCTCTGAATTGCCTCCAAAGAAATAATATATTTTCTTCAATAAGGAGACCAAAAAATTCTCTGTGGTCCAGATGTGGTCTCACCAGCACCTTGTACAGTTGCAGTAAGATTTCCCCAATTTAAAAAAAAGCTCCAGAGTTTGTCACAATGATCAGACTTATGAAAATACTCAGTACAATCAGAGGACATTTAAATCACAAGAGTTCCATCTAGTGGCAAATGGAAGCTTTGTATTAATTTGACATGACTGTAGAAGTAACAGCTTCAGTGGAGCAGTGTGCTGATAGTTTCACGGACAATCATAGCACAGGATGTAACATTGATGTGTCGAGACCTGGGAGATTTTTGGCGTCCAATTAATGCAGAAAGCTCTGGAAATTAACAGGTGATCTGTTAGTATCCTAACAGAAAATAGATTTTCTTTGTTAAAATAGTTGTTGGTTGAATTACCTGATCATTGGGGCACTATATCAAATTCTGGAAGGTGTGTGTAAGGATTCAGGTTCAGATGGAATCAAGCTTGACTGAAAATCCCTCTCTCTGAGGCAATGGGAGCTCAGCGCTCATGTTTAGTTGTTATGGCAGAGAAAGAAGCCATTTGGCTCATGGATCTCACTTTAAGCAAGACCATTTAAGTTCCTGCTGCTTGTAGAATTATAGGATGTTTATAATACTGCCTTCAGGAGAGGGTGACAAAAAGATGGAAAATGTCAGCATTAGTTTTACAAAGCTCATGATCTCGTTTCCCCATTTTTGTTTGGAGGTATATTTTGATAAGATGAAGATGCAAAATCATGTTTTATAGCCAATTTGTTGAGTGAATTGTCTGATGCCAAGTTTTTCAGTTTTTGGTTTTTTTTAATGCAGGCTTCTGGCTGAAAGCTACTCGATGCCAGGCACTGATCTGATCCTGTTGGGAACAAGGTGTACATTCATTCGTGGGTCTGTTGCTAACTTCTTCAGGCATGTAAATAAGTTAACTGTCAGATTTTAATCAATATAATTGAATATTAATTCTGTAATAGCAATACTTTTTCATTAAATTTATTAACATTTGAAAAAAAAGCGAGTTTTCATTCTTTCAGAGCTAGCTAACATTAAATGAAGGCAAACGTCTGGACACTCAACCATGTTTTCAAGGACAGCAGGTAGAATAGTACACCGTGACAATGATAATAACAAGATTACACAACCTCAAACAGCACAACACATCAATAATATTTATCAAGGTGATGTGTTATTTCCCCCCATTGTTTCTCCTTAGCCAAAAATATGCTGTCCTGAGATTTTCTCACCCTTATATCCTCGTTTTTGTTGAATTAAAACTCATTCATTTTCAGGTCACAAAGCTGTAGAGATCTCGAGTTTACTTTTTCTTTCTGTTTAATTTTTAAATGTAATTTGACAGTACTCGATGGTTGTGTAATGCTTTTAGGTTGTCCTGAAGACATGTTTAAAAACATGATTTCATGGAAAGTGAGTATCACTGTCAAATCAGCTTCTGTGTCAATCCGTAATCCCTTGCAAAAGTGATGGTGAACTGCTATAGTCCATGTGGTGTGGGTACAGCTAGAATTGTGTTCGTGAGAGGGATCCTGGATTTTGACTTGGTGACAGTGAAGGAATAGCTTCATACATGGTTCTAAATCAGGATGGTGAGTAGTTTGGAGGGGAACTTGCAGGTTGTGGTGTTTCCATCATCTGCTACCCTTGTCCATATTTGTGGTAGGTTGCAGGTTTGGAAGGTGCTGCTAAAGCCTTCTTGAGTTGTTGCATTGCATCTTGTCAGTGGTACACACTGTTGCCACTGTGTTTCAATGGTGGAGGGAGTGAATGATGGTGGATGGGCTGCCAATCAAATGGACTGATTAGTGTAAATACTCTTCATTATGGTTGGCAGCACCATCCAAGGCAAGGAGAGAGTATTCTATCACATTCCTGACTTGAGCTTTGATTCTTGACAGGCTTTGGGACATCAAGAGGTGAGTTACTCGCCATGGAATCCCAGCCTCTGACCTGCTCTTGTAGCCATTGTTTTTGTGTGATAGGTCCATTTGTGTTTTTGGTCTATAGTTGTTATTTGGTAATTGTTTCTGTGTGGTATTCAGTGATGGTAATGCAATTGAATTTCAAGGCGAAATTGTTAGGTTCTCTCTTTCTTGAATCATTCATTGCCTGGACAAGACCAGTCATCATGTAACAGAGTGTAGGGGCCAGTAGCTGTACATTTCTTCTGTCCCTCACTGTGCTTAATCATCACGTTAACTGGTACCTGGTTATTGTGATGATACCAGGCTTTAAGAGTGGTTATTTTGTGCAGGTTTTTTTGAAGAGAGGTTTTAAGGCGGGCTATCGAGCAGTCTACCAGAACCACTAGACTAAACAGCATGTGTGGCCTTGAGGTTTTGTTTTAAAAAGTTGGAACTCTGGGTAATTCAAGATGGAGGACGGGAAAAACATTATGGCTGTAAGAGCTGCTCCCTTGAGGTATTTTCAGTGTTGGCACTGATTTCCTCAAATACTAGGAGCAGTAATTACTGTTCTTTAAGCTGTTAGATTATTTTGGAACTTTGGGAGGAAAAAGAAATCAAAACAATGTCACTTTAAAAAGGAGGAAGAGAGACAAAGACAGTGACCATATGGGCAGTGATTCAAATGGAGAAAGAAACCTACACTGCAGTTTGACCCAGCAGTAACCTGCACAGCTGCTGCCTTTGCTGTCTAGTATCAAGTATCTCTGGACATTGGAGTTTGTTAGAATTACAACATTTAAAAGGCAACTGGATGGTATATGAGTAGGAAGGGTATAAAAGGATATGAGCCAAATGCTGTCAAATGGGACTGGATTAATTTAGGTTGGCATGGACGAGTTGGACCGAAGGGTCTACTTCCATGCTGTAAAGCTCTATGACTCGAATAAAATGTGTTTTGCTTTAAATCTGGTAGTTTAACCAAGCGAATTGTATCTGAAATGCAACACTTTACATTAACCTTTAAAATAAAAAAAAGTTAGAGTTTAGACTATGTTCTGAATGTTGAGTTTTGGTCTGGTCCGTAATACTGCACGCTTAAGGATATAAGACTGCTTATATTTATGTGCAACATGTTAATGAGGATGAAAGTTTCTCATTATTCTAGTCAAAAGCAAAATGATTCAGCAGGTAGGTTTTATATCTTTAATTATGCAGTCACAGTTTTCATATTCAAAATGTTATTTCCCATTCACGTTCCAAAAAAAAAGCGTCAATAATGTTAGAATATATTGCATGTAAAATAGGATTGCTTGTTAGAAATGGAATTCCTCCGATCGACACTTGCGCTACTTTGTCAAGTTGTAATTCTCTTGTAACATGGGAAAGGTCAATCAGCTGCTGTAATCACCATAATGGTCCACATATTTATAAAATGTTTTTTTTCCAAAAAGGGACTTGATTCAGATGCAGCTCAGTCAGTGGAAAACAGTCTGTTACAGGAGGAAGCTAGTTCAATTGTGATGAAAGTTCATGATTTCCTTTGGAGATTTGCATTCTAAAGTGGGCAGGGCCTTCTGTTTCTTCGTTATGTATGTTAAGAAGGACTTAAGTTTCATTTTTGAGTTCAGTGAACAGGATATCTGGAAACATACATACGTGCATTTAAAGTAGGACTAATTTGGGTAACTTGGTTGGCATGGATGAGTTGGACCAAAGGGTCTGTTTCCATGCTGTATGACTCTATGAAGAGTTCAGTGTTTTAGAAAAACAAGGGTGTGGGGGAAAAAGTGCTGATGTCTCGCAACAAGGTGCCCTATGACACAGGGAGTCAAAGACAGAGACATAGACAGGAACCAGCTCTTTTAGAAAGAGAGAGCCAGGCAGGAGGTTAGTAACTGTACAGGTTTCTGCAAGAGAAGACAGGTCTATGTCAGTAAAGTCCTTGTTAACCTAGCAGTCTGCAAAGTGGTGGTAGGAGAAAGGTCTTGAGTGGTTATATTGTCAGGAAGAGAAAGCTCCAGAAACAGAAGTCTGTGGAAGAGGAGTTTAAAAAATCCATGTTAGGAAATAAGTGAACAGTGTTAGCAGTTTGTTTAAAGCTCTTGGGAAGAGGTATTAGTTGAAGAAATAGCATTGAGTGAATTGAGAAGTTTGTTGCAAAGAAACCAAGTCCAACCACTTAAGTGCAACAAGAAACTTGAAAATCTTCACTAGATTTTCACTGGACTTTGAATGTCTGTAAGGTATTGTTTTATTGTTGAGGGTAAAGGGCTGAATTGTTTAAAAAATTGTTTCACAGTTCTTATATGTATTTTTCCCCTTTTGTGCGTAATAAACATTGATATTCTTTGATAACAAGGTGTAGAGCTGGATGAACACAGCAGGTCTGGCAGCATCTGTGGAGGAGAAAACAGAGTTAACGTTTCGGGTCTGGTGACCCTTCCTCAGAACTGATGGTGGCTGGGAAAATGTCAGTTTATATGCAGAAAATAGGGAGGTGGGTGGGGTAGGGAGTAAACGATAAGATACAGCCCAAAGAGACAGAAAGAC